TATTGATCTACTCACATTTGCATGGTTTCGAACTGCTAGATTGGCAGAAACTGGGGCTAACAGTGGGAGTTAACACTGCTCCTTGGATTCAAACCTGCGGCCTTTCGGTCAGCAAGTTCAGCAGCTCAGTGCTTTAACCCACTGCCCTCCAACATAGCCACAGCCTACATAGCTTTTATATTTTGCCCCCTCCCCTCAGACCAGTTAAGCAGAAGTAACACAGTTTGCCCATAAAATATATCTGGACTAGAAATAGAGACTTAGGATGCATCTATACCGTAGAATTAGTACCGTTTAGAAGCTCCTGGTGACACAATGGGTTAAACCCTTGTGCTGGCAGGACTGCTTACAGAAAGGTTGGCAGTTTGAATCTGAGGAGCGGGGTGAGCTCCCATCTATCACCTCCAGCTTCTCATGCGGGGACATGAGAGAAGCCTCCCATAGGATGGTAAAACATCTGAGAGTCCTTGCAGACGGCCAATTCTCTCACACCAGAACCAACTTGCATCGCTCCTGACATTGCATTAACTGCTACAGCTCAATGCCATGGAACCATAGGAGTTGGGCTTCAAAAAGTGCTGGTTCCTCTCCAGACTACAAATTGCACATAGCATTGAGCCAAGGCAGTTAAAGTAGTGTCAAACTATATTGGTTTCAAAGAAGCAACATGCGTGGGGCGAATAACAGGAAAATTATTTAATTCCTTCAACCCCCCTCCCCTCCCACCAATAGACTATCCTTTTCTGTCTAGCACACCCTTGGGGCCTCTGCCCGGATAATGGAACAGTATCTACAGGGTTAGATACACCCATAATAATCTAATAGTGCTCACTGTATAAACTAGCAGAGACCAGAACTCAAATTTGAGTGCAAATCATAGCTAGTGAGAAAATGCAAGTGTTCAGACACAAAAGAACACACACATGCTGAACAGTGAATAAAGAACAAAAAACACACACACTTAGGCCCCTTCTACACTGCCATATAATCCAGTTCAAAGCAGATAATCTGGATTTTACATGGTAGTGTAGAAGGGGCATTAGATGCACTTGCTGCTTTGTTATTGTGTGATTTCTAATGTTATATTCTGACACTTGTTGGAACAAAATCCCAGGTTCTTTGCCTGGCAGTCCTGCCAGAGCCAACAAACAAAAGCAATGTTTGATTGTAGGCTAGGGCTCATTACATCTCGAATTTTGAATTGCAGAGCCCAGTTTTGAATTGCAGAATGAGGGCCGGATAATATCAAGTGCAACCAGGATGATTGAGGCTGCTGGCTGAAGCCACAGATGAAAGGGAGAGCCAATTTGTTGCGCATTTCATTTTTTTACTATTGCATATATTTTTCCCCAAAAGATTGGACTATTTTATAGATCTATATACCAAAATAATTTAGCTATCTGTACCTTTATCACTGGAGATTGGGAGAAGTGCATACTATAGGGAACAGTGGCCTTATTTACCCAAATAAATGGTGTAAATGCACCTGATTTGGGTGAATCTAGGGGAACATTTTATTCTTCCGCAGCAAGGGCAGCGGAAATAGCTTTTCCATGCACTGCAGGGGCACTTTAAACAGATTGGCAGCCCTTTTTGAACTATTTATATGAGACCTTTTGCTGTTGAGGAAAAGAAAGTGACAGAGGGGCGTAGCGAATGAGGGCTCTCCAGCCTTTGTCTTTCCCCGTTACAAACCTCTGAGCCTCCAATGTAGAGAAAGTCTTAAATATGTGTGACCAGCATTCAGGCCTAAGCTGGGTGCATCTACGCTGTAGAAAGAATATAAGTTGAGACCACATTAACTGTCCCAGCTCAGTGCTTTGGAATCATAGTCTTTTGCCTTCTCTGCCCAAGAGTGCTGGTGCCTCTCCAAACTACAAGCTCCTAGGATTCCATAGCATTCAACCAGCGCAATTAAATTAGTGTCCAATGGCATTCGTTCTACAGTGTCTAGATGCATCCTGTGCCTCTTGGCTAGAGTTTTGCATTAGGGGGTAATTATGCTGAACTCACTTAATGAAAGGTCACAGGTTCGAATCCGGGGAGCGGCGTGAGCCCCAGCTTCTGCCAACCTAGCAGTTTGAAAACATGCAAATGTGAGTAGATCAATAGGTACAGCTCCAGTGGGAAGGTAATGGCGCTCCATGCAGTCGTGCTGGTCACATGACCTTGGAGGTGTCTACAGACAACGCTAGCTTAGAAATGGAGATGAGCACCAACCCCCAGAGTCGGACACGACTAGACTTAATGTCAGGGGAAAAGCTTTACCTTTACCTCCTCCGGCAGGTCTACCCAGTCCATTTCAGACTATGCATTTCAAATTTACCTTTATTGGTATTCATGACTATATTGTGTTTTAATTTTAGTTCTATGTCTTTTAATATATGTATTATATTAATGGACTTATGTTTTATGTATGTACAGGGTGGGCCGAAAGTCATACTATATATGATGCTATGGTATTGGATGCCATTTACAAAAACTGGTTTTTCACACATAAATATTTTCTATATATACTATGATATTCTACATTAAAAACAATAAATAAAATAATTGGGTTGCTGTGAGTTTTCCAGGCTGTATGGCCATGTTCCAGAAGCATTATCTCCTGATGTTTCACCCTTATCTATGGCAGGCATCCTCAGATATGTGGGTGAAATGTCAGGAGAGAGTGCTTCTGGAACATGGCCATACAGCCCAGAAAACTCACAGTAACCCTATGAAGAATTGATTAGAAGAATTCCAGACATGAAAGCATTTGACAACACAATAAAATAATTATTGAATATTTAAACCCCTTTGTCATTTGTTGTCTCTTCCTATATTTTACTGGTGTACTCTCCCTTGATCCTTGAGGAGAGATGAAAGCAGCAAATAATAATAATAATAATAATAATAATAATAATAATTATTATTATTATTATTATTATTATTTTCCACAAGGCAGTTTCAGACACTGTACATGTGCAATTTTTTGGAAGAAATAAGTGAATGACAGATAGGGTTTTGAACAATGTTGTACCCTGCCTTGGAAAGAGGTAGGTAACTATTATTATTATTATTATTATTATTATTATTATTATTTTACTGACAGAAAAACACAATATGTTACAGCAAACAAGATGTATATGCTGGATTTTGTATCACAAAATCACAAGTTGAACACTTCCCAAGCGTCTAGGACTGTGTGATGTATTTTTGAATGATGTGCGCAGATCCAAGTAAGGTGGCCTTTTGCAGTTGACAAATTATTATTATTATTATTATTATTATTACCACAAGGCAGTTTAATACACTGTTCATGCATTTCCTTGGGTGGAAAGAGTGAATGATGGATAGTCTTTTGAACTATGTTGTAGTCTGCCTTCGGGGAGAGACAGGTAACCAATTATTATTATTATTTGATACACAACATGAGTAGTAGCTTGGGGGTCCTTCTGGACTCTGCTCTGATACTTGATGCTCAGGTGTCAGCGGTGGCTGAGAGGGCCTTTGCACAATTAAAACTTGTGCGCCAGCTGTGCCCATACTTCATGAAATCTGATCTGGCCATGGTGGTCCACGCCCTGGTCACCTCTAGGTTGAATTATTGCAACGTGCTCTACGTGGGATTGCCCTTGAAAACGGCCTGGAAACTACAGATGGTCCAAAGATCGGCAGCCAGACTACTTACGGGAGCTGGTTACAAGGAGAGGTCTAACCCCTTTTTAAACAGCTCCACTGGCTTCCAATAAGTTTCTGGTCCCAATTCAAGGTGCAGGCTATCACCTATAAAGCCCTAAACAGTTCGGGACTTGCTTATCTCCGCAATCGCATGTTCCCCTATGAACCAGTCTGTACCTTGAGATCTTCTGCGGAGGCACTGCTCTCTCTCCCCCCTCCCCCCCCGTCTCAAGCACGGTTGGTGGAGACGAGGGAGAGGGCCTTCTTGGTGGTGGCCCCCCGGCTCTGGAACTCCCTTCCCAGGGAGATCAGACAGGTTCCTACTTTGTCCTCTTTCCGGAAGCAACTAAAAACCTGGATGTCCCAGTGTGCTTTTGATTAAGCAGTGCACCACTAATTTTCCTGTCCCTATTTTAAGTTCAGCACCTGTCGTGGGCTGGTTCATGAGGTCACGAAGAGTCAGAAATGACTGAATGAATGAACAGCAACAAAAGGGTTAGGGTTTTACCATTAAAGAACTCTTACATTCCTTCTATAATATCTGTGTTCCGTTCTGCGTTGCGCAAACACCGCTCTCGAAGGAGCGAAGCAGAAACAGCATAACGCTCAGATCTTCTGGATCCAGCTTTCATACTATTACCGATCCGAGTCGGGACCATTTTGTAGCCGACAGCGTAATTTTGACAGCAACTATTGTTTTTAAGTGCAGGCCAAGGTTTTTAGGCACTGCAACCAGTGTGCCCATCAGCACTGGGACCAGCTTTACTAGCATGTGCCAGAGTTGTGCCTTTCGCAGCCGACAGAGCGTAATTTTGACAGTGCTGATTGTTTTTAAGTGCAGGCCAAGGTCTTTAGGCACTGCAACACAATGTGCCCATCACTACTAGGACTAGATTTACTGGCATGTGCCAGAGTTGCGCCTTTTGCAGCCGACAGAGCGTAATTTTGACAGCGGCGATTGTTTTTAAGTGCAGGCCAAGGTCTTTAGGCACTGCAACCAATGTGCCCATCACTACTGGGACCAGCTTTTACTGGCATGTGCCAGAGTCTTTGCAGTTTTATGTTTACCCATGTGTGTATGTGTTGGGTGGGAATGGAGCTCTTTGACTATCGGTTCCGTCGAGGCGCCCTGGCAGACAAGCTGCCTCTTTCGCGCGAGCAATTCGCTCCCGGGGCCGCGCGCGCCTGCCTTCCTGCCTGCCTGGGCTCTGGATGTGCGCGTGAGGCGCTCGCGCTCGGGAAAAAAAGGGGGGAGGAGGGAGAGCAAGAGCAAGAGAGAGGAGGGGGCTGCGGGAGCCCCTCCTTTCCTCCCCTCTGCATCTCTCTCTCTCTCTCTCTTGCCCAGCTCTACAAGCCCGCGCGCGGCTCTTGCTGCTGCTACTGCCGCCGCTGCTGCTCTTCCCGCTCGAGGCGTCTCCCTTCCTCTCCCCCCCCCCCTTCCCAAGCGAGGCAGCCCTGGCTCTCGGGGGCGCCCCTCTGTGCCTGGGCTCCGGGCTGGAAGCCGTGGCCTCGGCGGGCATGAAATGTGCGCTCCTGGGGCTGGCCAAGTCTCCCAGCAAGAGAGGAGGCGCCACAGCCACAGCCACAGCCGGGGAATGGCCCCGGAGTGAGGAGGAGGGCGACGACGAGGAGGGAGCCGAGGAAGAACGGGCAGCCGGAGCCGGGCAGGCTGCCTTCGCCTCGGCCTCCGCCCGCAGCCCCGCACGCGGCTTGCCCGGCATGTTGCGGAAGGTAAGGCATGGCCCTTTAAGGGGCAAACTTCGGRCCTCCAGGTGTTTTGGACTCCAACTCCCACAATTCCGGCTGCTAGGAATTGTGGGAGTTGGAGTCCAAAACACCTGGAGGGCCGAAGTTTGCCCAAAGCCTGGGTTAAGGTATCTGAAGAGCGTGTTTTTGGTTGGCATTTCTGACGCCTTTCCCGAGTCCGGCCAAAAGAGGGCGCTGTTTTCTAGCTTATGACACTCCTCTTGGCCCCAAGGTTTGGGGATTCACACCTTTGCCTTCTTCCTAGGCACAGATTTCTCTTCTAATTTGCATTTCTTGCTTTGGATTTTGGGACTATAATCATGTCTACTGGTTTTTTGTCTGAGAAGGCAATCTATCATAAGGGTTGATGTACATTTTTCGGGCTGTATGGCCTGCATCAATAGGAATATAGTGTCTAGACCAGTGGTTCTCAACGTGTGGGTCCCCAGATGTTTTTAGCCTTCAACTCCAAGAAATCCTAACAGCTGGTAAACTGGCTGGGATTTCTGGGAGTTGTAGGCCAAAAACATCTGGGGACCCCAGGTTGAGAACCACTGGTCTAGATCCAGGGAAGTCATGCTACCCCTTTATTCCGCTTTGGTTACACCACACCTGGAATATTATGTCCAATTCTGGGCACTGCAATTTAAGAGAGATGTTGACAAGCTGGAATGGGCGACTAAAATGATCAAGGGTCTGGAGAACAAGCCCTATGAGGAGCGGCTTAAAGAGCTGGGTATGTTTAGCCTGAAGAAGAGAAGGCTGAGAGGAGACATGATAGCCATGTATAAATATGTGAGAGGAAGTCATAGGGAGGAGGGAACCAACTTGTTTTTTAGGACGCGGAACAATGGCTTCAAACTGCAGGAAAGGAGATTCCATCTGAACATCTGGAAGAACTTCCTGACTGTGAGAGCTGTTCAGCAGTGGAACTCTCTGCCCCGGAGTGTGGTAGAGCCTCCTTCTCTGGAAGCTTTTAAACAGAGGCTGGATGGTCATCTGTCAGAGGTGCTTTGAATGCAGTTTTCCTGCTTCTTGGCAGGGGGTTGGACTGGATGGCCCATGAGGTCTATGATTTCATGAAAAACTTATCACAACCCAGTCCATGAAAGCCTTCAAAAATCTGTCAGAAGTAGGTTTCCTCACCATCTTGCCCATGACTACTTACCACCAATAGAATCATAGAGTTGGAAGAGACCTTGTGGGCCATCTAGTCCAACCCCCTGCCAAGAAGTAGGAAAACCGCACTCAAAGCACCCCCGACAGGTGTTTTGGAGCTGTTATGGCTACAGGTTAGCCTAGGCTGAATCACTGAAATGAATGGCCAGATTCTCATTGGCATGAACAAGCACTACTTCCATAATTATCCATCCCGTGGACTGTGGCACACGTCACTATTGCAGAGACCGTAATCGCATCCAGTTTGCAGAATCCACTTGTTTTCTGTGGGACTACGACACAGAGTTTCTGCTGCTCTTGGGACTAGGACACAGAGCAATGTATTCAAGCGGCAGGGAAACAGATTCCACCTAAGCATTCAGAAACAACTTTCTGTGCCAGTATTTCACAAACTTTCAGTTTGTGAAATATGATGCATCGGAAAGTGTCAAGTTCTCAATCTCTGGAGTTTTTTTTACATAGAGGCTGCATGGGTATCTGTTGGGAGTGCTTTGATTGTGCATTCCAGTTTGTGAAATATGCTGCTGGGTATCTGTTGGGAGTGCTTTGATTGTGCATTCCAGTTTGTGAAATATACTGCCTCAGAAAGTGTCGAGGTCTCAATCTCTGGAGTTTTTAAAACAAAGGCAGCATGGCCATCTGTTGGGAGTACTTTGATTGTGCATTCCTCCATGGCAGCATGAGATTAGACTGGATGGCCCATGATCTTCTCAATTCTATGGAAAGCAATTCTTCTAAGCAATTCTTCATAGGGTTGCTGTGAGTTTTGCAGGCTGTATGGCCATGTTCCAGAAGCATTCTCTCCTGACATTTCAACCACATCGATGGCAGGCATCTTCAGAGGTTGAGGGGTTGGCAAGTGAGGTTTCTATATCTGTGGAATGTCCAGGGTGGAAGAAAGAGCTCTTGCCTGCTTGAGGCAAGTATGAATGTTGCAGTTGGCCAGCTTGGTTAACATTTAATGGCCTTGTAGCTTCAAAGCCTGGCTTGTTGCTGCGTGGGGGATACTTTGTTGGGAAGTGTTAGCTGGCTCTGATTGATTCTTGTCTGGAATTTCCCTGTGTTATTAGTGTTGTTCTTTATTTACTGTCCTGATTTTAGAGTTTTTTAAAATACTGGTAGCCAGATTTTGTTCATTTTCATGGTTTCCTCCTTTCTGTTGAAATTGTCCACCAGCTTGTGGATTTCAGTGTCTTCTCTGTGTAGTCTGACAGGGTGTTTGTTAGAGTTGTCCAGCATTTCTGTGTTCTCAAATAATATGTTGTGTCCAGGTTGGTTCATCAGGTGCTCTACTATGGCTGACTTCTCTGGTTGAAGTAGTCTGCAGTACCTTTCATGTTCCATGATTCGTGTTTGGTCAATGCTGCATGGAATGCAGTAGACTCCTGCTGACGTGAGAGGATCCCTTTTGTCCTTTGCTGAACACTCCACAGATATATAAGCCCCAATTGCCTTGTTTCCAACAGACCTCACAACCTCTGAAGATGCCTGCCATAGATGTGGGTGAAAAGCCAGGAGAGAATGCTTCTGGAACATGGTCATTCTTCATACTTGGTGGAGTGATGGAAAGACCATCCTTGGCAGTGGAGGTCTTGTGTTGTTTGTGGCCAAGAGAGAACTTCCTTGTATTTTTTATATTTGCTGCACTGAGAAACTTTCACCATGTAATGCTACACCAAAGAATGTGTGTATAGGAAAAGAGAGTGAGGGAGTGTGTGTGTGTATTATCATGGCTGTGCTGTGATTTGTTAAGACACACTTGCTTTTTAATTTGTAGTATACAATGGAACCTACGATAAAATGCTGCAGTGATTTCTCAGTGACTTATTTGGGAATCCAGCCAGGTTCTTTTCTTAAGGGTGCATCTATACCAGGCATGGGCAAACTTCACCCCTCCAGGTGTTTTGGACTACAACTCCCACAATTCCTAACAGCCAGTAGGCCGTTACCCAGTCATAGGTGTAGCCTTGGATAGCCCATAGAAGCCCCCATTTCCAGCTCTCTTTGATCATTCCGAAGTCTGGATTACATGGCTCCTGAGCCTGGTTTGTTTTTATTGACTGTTTTAGGGTTGGGGTGCTCCCTCCCTGCGTAGGTTTTTCCTCTAATATATTTATAGCCACATCTACATCGACACCCACACTTACAAAAACCTTGGGATTCCTCACAGTGTGCTGATAGCTTATTCATTTGTCACTCTTCTGTGTTTTGCTGAACCCTGTTTTGCCTGTGGTTGCTGTTAGAGAAATAAATCATCTCCTAGTCAAAAAAATAAAAATGCCTAAGACATTTAGCTTTTTCTTTGCAAGTCGTTAATTTTTTGACAAGAGAATTACATTGAAATTGTTCAGGCAAGCCGTTTCCATTTTGAAAAAACCCAAATGCTGGTTTGCTGTGGTGCTTTGAGATGTGCCCTGAAGCCAAGGGATGCCCCATATGCTCCGTGGAGCTGAAGAGCCCAACAAATGTAGGCAGCAGCAGCAGCAGCTCATGTTCTGTGATGCTCAGCACTTTGTTTTTTAATGTAAGGGCTGTGCTGTTCATTTTATCTGTCCATTTGGGTGTCTTTTGAAATAAAATGCCACAAAAACATGGACACTTGGCTATTCAAATAGTTGGCAAAATTTCTGAAAATAATTTGTGGCTTCCAGCAGGGAATTCATATGAATCGGTTGCATTTTTCTTTTTCCTATGGACATGAGAGCTGAGGAGTCTGTTGAGGACAACATACTTACTTGTTGTACCTGCTATGTCTTTAATTTGACTGTAGTTTCCATGCAACCTTTTATCTGCCACTTCCTCATTCTTTCAGTTGTATAAGGTTGTTCTCAGCTGGGTTAAGTTAGTGTTCAATTGTAGACGAGGTACCAATTATGCTTGTCAAAGGCTTTCATGCCAGAATCACTGGGTTGCTGTGAGTTTTCCAGGCTGTATAGCCATGTTCCAGAAGCATTCTCTCCTTACGTTTTGCCCACATCTATGGCAGGCTTCCTTAGAGGTTGTGAGGTCTGTTGGAAGCTAGGCAAATGGGGTTTACATATCTGTGAAATGTCCAGGGTGTGAGAAAGAACTCTTGCCTGTTTGAGGCCGGTGTGAATGTTGCAATTGGCCACCTTGATTAGCACTGAATAGCCTTGCAGCTTGTAGAATAGTAGCCTATACTTGGGACTTGCAGTTCTTTTAGTTCAGGGGTGAGCAATTACCAGGTTTTGTGGGGACTGCATTGCTCTGGCTGGGAATCTGTGAGATCTCTTTTTAGTCATGCTCAACAATTCTTTCAAACTTTTGAATGTTTCCCATTTTACATTGATTTTTTGTGTGTGTCAGGAGTGACTTGAGAAACTGCAAGTCACTTCTGGTGTGAGAGAATTGGCCATCTGCAAGGATGTTGACCAGGGTGCACCCTGATGTTTTGATGTTTTACTATTCCTGTGGGAGGCTTCGCTCATTTCCCAGCATGAGGACATGGGGACTTGGAGCTGATAGAGGGAGCTCATCTGTTCTCTCCCCAGAGTCGGACCTCCGACCTGTTAGTCTTCAGTCCTGCTGCCACAAGGGTTTAACCCATTGTGCTACCAGGAGCTCCTATTTTACATTTTACATTGATTTCCATTTAATTCTGAATTTTAAAATGTATCTTTTTGCACAAAAAAAGGAGGGGAGGTGGGAACTTCTTGCAAAGCACTGGGAACATCAGCATGGTCTTGAGGAGTCATTCTTCCGCAACCCTGACTGCTTCTAGCCTGTTTCTTATAAGACAAGAGACTTCAAATCTTTGGAGTGGCGCACAGCCAATGTTTCCAAAG